TTGATCCGATTTGTCGGGAGGTTGACACATTAGTCAATTCAGCAAGCTGATGATATAAATACATGTATTAAAGAGTCATGTCTATTTTACCTGATTTACCTTAAAGATCTCGTACCACGTCCCAAAGCTAAATACACATTGGAATCTGTTTTTTCCCCCCAACATGACTATATATAGCTTTGATAAATCATTTCCAATAAGAAAAACACTCCTTGCAAGACTTTTATGAAAAAAGTAATGATAAAATAAGCAGAAATAATTGACAACAATACTATAAGTGATATAAGCAGGTCCAGACATGGATTCAAACCCTGTACCTCAGACTGTTACACTTTCTATCCCTTGGACCTATTTTAGACTATTGCACAGTCCCTTTAGCTACCTTGTTAACAGAAGTTAGGTACCTAGCCCAATCGTGTTACAGTTATATACAAAAACCCACAGTGGAATTCTCTAGTATTTTGTCTGTAGTTGGACAGGCATTCTTAAACTAGGTTACAGTAAACAATATGTTTTGTGACTCGGATCATGAGCATCAAACATGATTGATTTCAATCAGTTTGAGTGGACTATGATAGTTTCTGTAGCCTAGTTAGTAAGATATACCAAATCTCAGTTTCTGTAGCCTAGTTAGTAAGATATACCAAATCTCAGTTTCTGTAGCCTAGTTAGTAAGATATACCAAATCTCAGTTTCTGTAGCCTAGTTAGTAAGATATACCAAATCTCAGTTTCTGTAGCCTAGTTAGTAAGATATACCAAATCTCAGTTTCTGTAGCCTAGTTAGTAAGATATACCAAATCTCAGTTTCTGTAGCCTAGTTAGTAAGATATACCAAATCTCAACATTTGACTGCAGGCAGTTAAATTTCTAGTCTAGCTAGTTAGTGATTTATGCTAGCTCTAAATATTTGCCTGGAAACTTGATTTATTTCTAGTTTAGTTTATGAGATATACCAGGTGAAAATGTTTCTCTGGAAACCTGACAACTTTTATCATATTTTATTTCACTGTGATGCATTCTGAAATCTTCAATCTGAAATTTGGTATTCATATTAGCCGTCTCAAAATGTTAAATTGCCCAATATATCGACCAGCAAAACAAGCATTAGAAATACCTTCCAGTAACTTATGGGCAAGATTAAGCAAATTTACTGCCGATTGTCGATAGACAGATTATATAATTCCAGTAGCTTTACAGTGTTGTAGGGGCAATTTGAATGGAAAGAGAAACATAAAATAAACTTGTATGTTTTCTGATGGCAGGCTTAGCAATGCTGAGCCACGACTTAACGCCTAGGGCTGGGTGGAGTACAATATCCTCACCTCGTCTTTCGTCAGGTTGGCGCCTGTTGTGATTTCTCTATATTTGTCATGATTTTAATGTTTTGCACTTTTACAAATTCTAATATATTCAGGACTGGCATATCTCAATGGTAATTTTTATCTTAAATTTGAAAACATATTTCTCTGAAAAATACATGATCTTTTGCAAGTAAAATTTCACAAATGTTGTTATTTTAATTTTTTGTGTCAACAAGAAATCAGAGATGACCAATTTAGTAGAAACATTTAGACTCCTTTTCTACTTCAGATAACACAGGAAATATGAGAAATACAGGCCTGTTTGGCCTCTTGTCAATTTTTTTTTATAAATGGTGGGTGACGTTCTTTACAATCATGTCATGGGTTTATGCTTTACCATGGCTTATTGTTGACTCTATATACAGTCTATATATGGTCAACCATGGTTAAGTTACAATGGTAAACCATTCGGTTTGGTTTATATGATTGACAATTTATATGGTCCACCATGGGTTTTTAACAATGGTCAATCATTTAGTTGATTGAATTAAAGGTCCATCACCTTGGTCAAACATTTAAAAACAAAAAGGTCGAACCATTATATAGGTTACAAGTCACAGTCACTTTTGGCTCGGGTCCAATAGTGGTCAAGTGATACTAACCATCATCAGTTTTTGCATGGTTACTTTTGAGACTGGTCCGATAAACAAAATGGCGGACAGGTGGCCATCTTGGATTTTGACAGTGAATGTTTGTTATCGCTTTTTCTCAGGGGTTTTGGAGGGATCTTTCTCTATTTTGATATGTAGGTTCCCCTTGGTTTTTAGCTCACCTGGCCCAAAGGGCCATGTGAGCTTATGGCATGGTGCGGCGTCCGGTGTCCGTCTGTCGTCAACTTTTTACTTTAAACAACTTCTTCTCCATACCCAAAAGGCCCAGGGTACTGATATTGGGTCTATAGCATGCTGGGATGAAGGGCTACCAAGTTTGTTCAAATTCATGACCTTGACCCACTTTCAAGGTCACAGGGGTAAAATGTCGTAAAATCTTCAAACAACTTCTTAATAACCAAAAGGCCAAGGGTACTGTAATTGGGCCTGTAGCATGATGGGATGAAGGGCTACCAAGTTTGTTCAAATTCATGACCTTGACCCACTTTCAAGGTCACAGGGGTAAAATGTCGTAAAATCTTCAAACGACTTCTTCTCAATAACCAAAAGGCCCAGGGTACTGATATTGGGCCTGTAGCATGCTGGGATGAAGGGGCACCAAGTTTGTTCAAATTCATGACCTTGACCCACTTTCAAGGTCACAGGGGTAAAATGTCGTAAAATCTTCAAACAACTTCTTAATAACCAAAAGGCCAAGGGTACTGTAATTGGGCCTGTAGCATGCTGGGATGAAGGGCTACCAAGTTTGTTCAAATGAATACCTTGACCCTCTTCCAAGGTCACAGGGGTCAAATATCTTAAAATCTCCAAACAACTTCTTCTCAATAACCAAAAGGCCCAGAGTACTGATATTGGGCCTGTAGCATGCTGGGATGAAGGGCTACCAAGTTTGTTCAAATGAATACCTTGACCCTCTTCCAAGGTCACAGGGGTCAAATATCTTAAAATCTCCAAACAACTTCTTCTCAATAACCAAAAGGCCCAGGGTACTGATATTGGGCCTGTAGCATGCTGGGATGAAGGGGCACCAAGTTTGTTCAAATTCATGACCTTGACCCACTTTCAAGGTCACAGGGGTAAAATGTCGTAAAATCTTCAAACGACTTCTTCTCAATAACCAAAAGGCCCAGGGTACTGATATTGGGCCTGTAGCATGCTGGGATAAAGGGATACCAAGTTTGTACGAAGGAATGACCTTGACCTACTTTCAAGGTCACAGGGGTCAAATGTCGTAAAATCTTCAAGCGACTTCTTTTCAATAAGCAAAAGGGCCAGAGTACTGAAATTGGGCCTGTAGCATGCTGGGATAAAGGGATACCAAGTTTGTTTAAATGAATGACCTTGACCAATTTTCAAGGTCACAGGGGGAAAATGTCGTAAAATCTACAAACAACTTCTTAATAAACAAAAGGCCAAGGGTACTGTCATTGGGCCTGTAGCATGCTGGGATAAAGGGATACCAAGTTTGTTTAAATGAATGACCTTGACCAATTTTCAAGGTCACAGGGGTAAAATGTCGTAAAATCTACAAACAACTTCTTAATAAACAAAAGGCCAAGGGTACTGTCATTGGGCCTGTAGCATGCTGGGATGATGGGCTACCAAGTTTGTTCGAATGAATTACTTTGACCAATTTCAAGGTCACAGGGGTAAAATGTCGTAAAATCTTCAAACAACTTCTTAATAACCAAAAGGCCAAGGGTACTGTAATTGGGCCTGTAGCATGCTGGGATGAAGGGCTACCAAGTTTGTTCAAATGAATTACTTTGACCAACTTTCAACCTAATGTCCTTGTTCGTCATTCGAGGTCACAGGCGTCATATGTTTAAATCTTTTAATAGGTTCTTATGAATCAAACACTAATATTCTGCCTGTGGCTGTTATTTAGTCCACTATTAAGATTACAAGTGTGGGATTTATATCAGATGAGCGATGCGGGCCCATTGGGCCTCTTGTTAGTTGTGCATGGTTACATTTGAGACTGTTACGATAAACAAAATGGTGGACAGGTGGCCATCTTGGATTTTGACAGTGAATGTTTGTTATTCCTATTTCCCAGGAAGTTCTGTAGGGATCTTTCTCAAATTTGATATGTAGGTTCTCCTTGGTCTGTAGTTGTGCTGGTTGACTTTGGAGAGTGATCATAAAAACAAGGTGGCCCCAGGAAGTACTAATGAGATCTTTCTGATATTGTAATGATGGGATCTATTTCTCCAACATTTAAAGAATTGTACTAGTAAATACATGAAATGCTGCATTTACTGTTTACATGACTTGATCAAACAGATAAGAGAAAATAAGAGAAAAGATCAACTGACATAAACCAATGTGGATGGTACAATGGTGGGCGCCAAGATCCTTCTGGGATCTTTTGTTATTGAGTTGAAGTTGTAGCTAATTATAAATAAGAACCAAAGTTTTTTTCCAGATTGAGATATTGTGAAAAATACATTTTTACACATATATAGGATTGAGGGATAATGGGCTCCAAAAGGCCTGGACATTCTCTTCAGGGTGTGCAGTTACAAAAACATCAACATGTGGTATAATACATTATATGTGGATAGCCATATCACTTCAGATACACCATAGCAGGTCAATGATAAGCCTGGTTTGAAAGTTAAACTGTCCTTTAAAATTAAGTTGGACATGTTTATCATCACAGCAGTTTACAGAAATGTGATATCTTAGTGTGAATATCTTAGTGATGTCAGATGATCACTGAGGATTCTGGTTGACTGGTAAATTATGATCTAAACCTCAAATATATTTCAATCAAATGATTAAAATGTTGCGGGTGTGATGGTCTTATGACAGTTAATTGATGTAGATAGTCTTCTAATATTATGAAGTCATAGACAGTATTTTTAGTCTTCTAACATTATGATGTCATAGACAGTATTTAGATTTATTTTGTTCAGGTTGTGAAATTACAATTACCAGTTATTTGTATGATATTAGTTCTGAAACTGAACTGAAATGGTTGCTTTTCCGTAAATTGATTAACTTTTTTTTTTTTTTTCCAGGTTTGAATATGCTGCACTACAGTCCGAAGAGCTCTGTCGTTGCCATAGAAATCAGGATGACCTCAGAATCATTAGCAATGAACTCTGTCTGTATGAGTAAGTAAATATGTATGTGTGGTAGTCAAGAGACCACCCACAGGAAGTTAAATAAGTGGTCTCTTAACACAGGTGGTCTCTTAATACAGGTGGTCTCTTAACACAGGACATCTCTTAACACAGGTGGTCTCTCAATACAGGTGGTCTCTTAATACATGTGGTCTCTTAAAATAGGTGGTCTCTTAATACAGGTTGGTATCTCAACACAGACAGTCTCTTAACACAGGACATCTCTTAATACAGATGGTCTCTTAACACAGGTGGTCTCTTAATACAGGTGGCTTCTTAACACAGGTGGTCTCTTTATACATGTGGTCTCTTAATACAGGTGGTCTCTTAAAACAGGTGGTCTCTTTATAATGGTGGTCTCTTAACACAGGTGGTCCTACAACACAGGTGGTCTTTTAACACATGTTTTCTCTAAACACAGGGGGTTTCTTAACACAGGTGGTCACTTAATACATGTGGTCTCTAAACACAGATGGTCTCTTAAAACAGGTGGTCATTTAACACAGGTGATCCTTTCATGCAGGTGGTCTCATAACACGTGTAACACAGGTGGTCTTTTAACACAGGCAGTATCTTAACACAGGATGTCTCTTAATACAAATGGTCTCTTAACACAGGATGTCTCTTAATACAGGTGGTCTCTTAACATAGGTTGTCTCTTAACACAGGTGACCAAGGTCTCTTAACACAGGCAGTCTCTTAACACAGGACATCTCTTAATACAGATGGTCTCTTAACATAGGTTGTCTCTTCATACAAGTGGTCTCTTAACACATGTGGTCTCTTAATATAGATTGTTTATTAACAAGGGTGGTCTCTTAATACAGGTGGTCTCTTCAAACATGTGATTTCTTTATATAAGTGGTCTCTTAACACAGGTGGTCCTTTAACACAGGTGGTCTCTTAACACGGGTTGTTTCTCAACACAGGTGGTCTCTTAACACAGGTTGTCTCTTAACACAGATGGTCTCTTAACACATGTGGTCTCTTAACACAGGTGGTCCTTTAACACAGGTTGTCTCTTAACACAGGTTGTCTCAACACGGATGGTCTCTTTACACAGGTGGTCCCTTAACACAGGTGGTCTCTTAACACGGGTGGTTCTTTAACACAGGTGGTATCTTAACACAGGTTGTCTCTTAACCCAGATGGTTTCTATACACATACATTTTCTTAACACAGGTGGTCTCTTAACACACACACATGTGGTCTCTTAACACAGGTTGTCTCTTAACACAGATGGTCTCTTAACACAGGCAGTCTCTTAATACAGATGGTCTTTTAACTTAATACATGTGGTCTCTTAACACAGGTGGTCTCTAAACACAGGTTGTCTCTTAACACAGATTGTCTCTTAACACAGGCAATATCTTAACACAGGTTGTCTCTTAACACAGATGGTCTTTTAACACAGGTGGTCACTTAATACATGTGGTCTCTTAATACATGTGGTCTCTTAACACAGGTGGTCACTTAATACATGTGGTCTCTTAATACAGATTGTTTATTAACAAGGGTAGTCTCTTAATAAAGGCAGTCTCTTCAAACATGTGGTCTCTTAACAAAGATGGTTTCTTAACACAGGTTGTCTCTTAACACAGGCAGTCTCTTAACACAGATGGTCTCTTAACACAGGTGGTCACTTAATACATGTGGTCTCTTAACACAGATGATCTTTTAACACAAGTGGTCTCTTAATACATCTGGTCTATTAACATAGGTGATCACTCAATACAGGTGGTCTCTTTATAGGTTCAGTTCATAAAAGATATCACTTCAATTGGAAACATTAAACATGGTCTCTTAACACAGGAGGTTTCTTTATAAAGGTGTTGTCAATAGAGCAGGTCTGACTGTACAGGTATTTATCTCTCTAATGATGAAAAGAAAACAAGTAATACACAAATGAGTATTGAAAATACAAATTCATGAAAAAATTGTTTGCACACTTTTCAAAGGAATTAAAAAACTATAATTCTGATAGAACAGTAATATGTATAATGTAGGTATAACAATATTGGAAAGAGAAAATCTTGTTTTGTTGCTGCAATGTAATGTGGTATACACTTCATTGTCATTGGTACAGATTGTTAAAAAAAGGGAAAAGCAATTTTTCACAAATGTCACTAATTGAATCCAATGTGCCTTGAAGCGATTTTGTCATATGGAAGTCAAGAAATTATAAAAGTGTTGATGTTCCTACTGAGGTTGATTAATTGTGTCAAGTTGAAGAAAACAAACATTACTACAATGTGTTCCTAGAGATAAAAACCAACTCTTCTCCAGCAAGTGCTGCAGCCACCATTGTCGACCTAGAAAGGGTTTCGACCGAAATGTCTAGGAGTGTTGAATGATAGGTTCTCTCTACCAGACAGATAAATTGACTGAATGAGCCAATCCTTTACTGCCTTCATGCTAACTCTGTGGAAGAGTTTTCGTTTTGATAGTGACCTCCAATTGGTACTGGGCTATAGAACAATGACGCACCGACAGTGCGCAACATGTATATATGCACATCAAAGTAAGATGGATCCCGATTTCATGTCATTGTTAGAACCAATTGAAATTTGTTTTCCAATCTGAAAAACAAATTCAAATACACCCCAATCCTGACTTAGTATTGGGAATAGACATGTTGCCATGGCAATCCTTTTATGTTACCTAATTTAGCGGGAATTGCTTAGGTTTCTCGAAGGTTAGCCACCCCCTGAAAGCATTGTATAAGATTTAAGTGGATGTAGGTATTGACTTACTAGTGGTTAGCCAGGTAAATAATCAAGCATCCAATTACAAAAAGCACATTTTGAAGTTCCTAGAATTACGTGAATTTTATATAGCTTCTATTTATGGTCAATTGCAATTAAGAAATGCAGTGGAATGTTGTCAATGCTTGTTGTTTTCATAGAAAACAATTTAACCACATGAACAAAAAGGACAATGACATTAGTTTTTCTCCAGCTTAGCTGTTATCTTCCACACTGAGGAAAGAGTGGGTTTGTTGTATCCCAATGATCGTAAGATGCGGTTAATGTAAGGGTCCCCCTGCAGATATGTTTTTTTTTCTTCTGCATCTTTTACTTAGGAGACATGAACATTAAGAAACAGTTGTGGGAAGTTAGGAGATGAGGTATTGGAACATCAGGGATGCCTTTTCATCAGTTGAAATGTTTTCAAAATAGAATCTGGATTTATTGTACAATTATGAATCAAATTTGATCAAGATATATTTTTCTCTCTTGTTGGCCTGGATGGAAATGAGAAGGGTGTCTTTATTTGCGACGAAAACCCCCACATAGTTGGCACTTTTGAAGTAATACTGATTATTGGTGCTTGTACTTAAGAGGTCTCAGATATACCAGACAGTTGATTTTTTTGGGACTCTTGAAAGTATGATAAAACCGAAAAGATGCATGATACATTTTTTTTAAGTGATATTTTGGTTAAGAGATTAATCTTGAGGATGTTGAAAGGACTTTTAAAGCATTTTCCTTAATGATGCAGATAAGAAATTTGTTTCCTATTTTGAGATTTTTAGGTCACCTGAGACAAAGTCTCAAGTGACCTATTGCGATCGCCTTTTGTCCGGTGTCATCCGTCGTCCGTCGTTTGTCGTCCGTCGTCCGTCGTGCGTCCGTAAACAATTTACATTTTCGACTTCTTCTCCAAAACCCCTGAACCAATTTCAATTAAATTTTGCAGGGACCTTCCATGGACAAAGGTCAACAAAAATAGTTGCCGGTTTAGTGCTACGCCCCCAGGGGCCTGAGGGGCGGGGCCAAAAGGGGTCAAATTGACTAAAATTTCAAAAATCTTCTCCTCCAAAACCCCTGAACCAATTGCAATGAAATTTTGCAGGGACCTTCCATGGACAAAGGTTAACGAAATTAGTTGCCGGTTTAGTCCTACGCCCCCAGGGGCCTGAGGAGCGGGGCCAAAAAGGGTCGAATTGACTAAAATTTCAAAAATCTTCTCCTCCAAAACCCCTGAACCAATCGCAATGAAATTTTGCAGGGACCTTCCATGGACAAAGGTTAATGAAATTAGTTGCCGGTTTAGTCCTACGCCCACAGGGGCCTGAGGAGCGGGGCCAAAAAGGGTCGAATTGACTAAAATTTCAAAAATCTTCTCCTCCAAAACCCCTGAACCAATTGCAATGAAATTTTGCAGGGACCTCCATGGACAAAGGTTAACGAAATTAGTTGCCGGTTTAGTCCTACGCCCACAGGGGCCTGAGGAGCGGGGCCAAAAAGGGTCGAATTGACTAAAATTTCAAAAATCTTCTCCTCCAAAACCCCTGAACCAATTGCAATGAAATTTTGCAGGGACTTTCCATGGACAAAGGTTAACGAAATTAGTTGCCGGTTTAGTCCTACGCCCACAGGGGCCTGAGGAGCGGGGCCAAAAAGGGTCGAATTGACTAAAATTTCAAAAATCTTCTCCTCCAAAACCCCTGAACCAATTGCAATGAAATTTTGCAGGGACCTTCCATGGACAAAGGTTAATGAAATTAGTTGCCGGTTTAGTCCTACGCCCCCAGGGGCCTGAGGAGCGGGGCCAAAAAGGGTCGAATTGACTAAAATTTCAAAAATCTTCTCCTCCAAAACCCCTGAACCAATCGCAATGAAATTTTGCAGGGACCTTCCATGGACAAAGGTTAATGAAATTAGTTGCCGGTTTAGTCCTACGCCCACAGGGGCCTGAGGAGCGGGGCCAAAAAGGGTCGAATTGACTAAAATTTCAAAAATCTTCTCCTCCAAAACACCTGAACCAATTGCAATGAAATTTTGCAGGGACTTTCCATGGACAAAGGTTAACGAAATTAGTTGCCGGTTTAGTCCTACGCCCACAGGGGCCTGAGGAGCGGGGCCAAAAAGGGTCGAATTGACTAAAATTTCAAAAATCTTCTCCTCCAAAACCCCTGAACCAATTGCAATGAAATTTTGCAGGGACCTCCATGGACAAAGGTTAACGAAATTAGTTGCCGGTTTAGTCCTAAGCCACCAGGGGCCTGAGGAGCGGGGCCAAAAAGGGTCGAATTGACTAAAATTTCAAAAATCTTCTCCTCCAAAACCCCTGAACCAATTGCAATGAAATTTTGCAGGGACCTTCCATGGACAAAGGTTAATGAAATTAGTTGCCGGTTTAGTCCTACGCCCACAGGGGCCTGAGGAGCGGGGCCAAAAAGGGTCGAATTGACTAAAATTTCAAAAATCTTCTTCTCAAGACCCAGATATGGTAGAATCGAATACTCTTCATAGATGGAAGGGTCTTAAGGTTTATGACCCTAGGGTCTCACGTTTACCCCCTGGGGAAGGAGGGGGGGGGGGGCAAAATTTTTTATGGTTTATAATGGCAAATGATACTTTGAATATTACATGTTAATAACGTGATTGGAATTATAACCTTGAGTTGACAGTTTGATACTTTGAAAATTTTGAGCCAGCCCTACCCCCACGGGCTGTAGGGTGGGGCTCAAGGGAGTCAGTGTGCTAAAATTTCTTCATTTTCCTTGTTTAGAATCAGAGGTGCTAGTTTCAAATCCTTTTTAGTCTGAAATCTGTATGCTTGATATTGAATAAGGTGGTTTTATTGTTTTTTGTCACTTTGAATAATATTTTTGTTCAGGTTAAAAACGAAATCAACTCTCTGAATAAATATATCAGGTGACCGTTAAGGCCCATGGGCCTCTTGTTGATTTAACCTAAACCCAATTTAGAACCCATGCTGATTTAACCTCTGATCAATTGTGGACCAACCAACTTCCTCACACGAGTCAAACATTGAACAGTAAGTATCAGACACGATCGATAAATTAATTTGGCCTTTTATTCTCCTTCCAGGAATAGGACAGAACAGGATTATCTGCCCCTACCTTGTGGCCAGATGAATGTGTCATGGAGCGTGTTCCGATCATCAGGGCCTTACATTGTCAACATATCTGTCACCATGGATACCCCCTGGGTGGTCACGGGCAGACCAGTAGTCATTGAAGTAGTGACAGATTTGGCCAGCTTTGTTAATATATCTGATGGTAAGTTTTCCCTTAAATTGAAAAAAGTGTTACTGCCGTCATTTCTCCCGTGACTTTGATTCTCAGACGTCCTAGAAATTGAGACAGTTTTTCCAAACTTTGTTTGAGACACTGATTAGAGGTGACTCGAAGATGGAGCTGTTAAGAGTCGGGTAATCACAGACTTGGAATCCAGGGAGACAACGGTACAGGGTAAAACTAAATAAATTGAGTTAATTGCTATCGGCATTTGTCAAATTTACAGAAATTATATAAGTCCTATAGCTATTGATAAAAAACCTAAAGCTTGAAGTCGTATAGCTATTGATAAAAAACCCAAAGCTTGAAGTCATATAGCTATTGATAAAACCCCCAAAGCTTGAAGTTGTATAGCTATTGATAAAAACCCCAAAGCTTGAAGTCCTATAGCTATTGAAAAAAAACCCAAAGCTTGAAGTCCTATAGCTATTGATAAAAACCCCAAAGCTTGAAGTCGTATAGCTATTGATAAAAACCCCAAAGCTTGAAGTCGTATAGCTATTGATAAAAAAAACCCAAAGCTTGAAGTCCTATAGCTATTGATAAAACCCCCAAAGCTTGAAGTCGTATAGCTATTGATAAAACCCCCAAAGCTTGAAGTCATATAGCTATTGATAAAACCCCCAAAGCTTGAAGTCCTATAGCTATTGATAAAAACCCCAAAGCTTGAAGTCCTATAGCTATTGATAAAAACCCCAGAAATGGAATAGGAAATCAACTTTTTCTAATGTGTTTAGGTCATTTAAATGATTTCATCTAACCTGAACATGCATATTAACATCATCCATCTCAAATTTAATTCCCATTCAACAACAAAAATTCCAGTGTGAAAGCAGGTAGTTTAAATGTTGTTGATGGTGTAAGAAAGGCGCGTTAATTCATGTCATATGTGGGGATACATTCTCGTTTTTCACTAGTTGTCAGAGAACTAAAACCTAAACATGTTTATTTGCATATTGACGTATCAAATTGAGAAGAGCTATCTGAATTAAAGAAGAAAAATTCTATATATAACAATTTTCTACCTGTATTTAATAAAAATATGTAAATATAATCTAATGATTTTTCAAATGTTGATCAAAACTGTAATATTTCCAGAATGAAGCTTTGACCATTTTGATGTACTGAGCTGAGATTCCTACACCAAACCCAGACAATTTATCAGTTGGCTGCTAAAAAACATTGAATCAAAGAATCATTTTATTCTTGATCAATAAAATTCAATTAAGTTACCGAATTATTACCGTAACATATTTATGGTTGGTAAAACTGTTGTTCCGTTGAATGTATTGATAAAAGTTTAATATCACGTTCTGATTCGGGTTTGGTCAGATAATTTGGAAATTGATTTTTTGTTTCTGTTCGTCATATGAACAGATACTGGTAACTTGGCCGTGTGACAGGTAATATTCAGCGTCAGTCGAGAGTAACGTAGAATCTTTAGTGGCGATCTAATTTCCTTTCATACGCACATTGATAAACTGATAAGGCTAATCAATATGTAGGATTTTACCAGGCATCGACTTGAATCTAAAAAAGGAACATTCTAGATTTCATCCTAAAATGGCTGCATAATTGATTATTTTGTTACTTGAAAGATGATATGTGAAATGGTATTAATCAATCTTGAAAAAAAACACCGAAAATTTTATTGATTTCCGAGTATCTTGATTGAACGCTGGTCATATCTCCATAGTCATTTCAAATAGCAAGTAAATGTCCTGGTCTTAAATTCACTAATTTTATCGGCCTTAATTCCTATTATTGGAAAATGTTTTCTACGAAAGTTGGGCATTGAAATGGATTAATTTGTAGCATGACAGGCAGTTTCTGGCTGTAAATAAAGGTTGATATCACATGAATTTCGTGATGATGATACTTTAATGATCATGGTTTACAATATCATTCTTTTTTAGGAAACATTACCAAATGCGAACAAATATGTCTATTATTACGCATGTAGTATCTGAATAAAAAGTTCCCATGTCTAAACAATGGGCCTTAGTTAAAAGCAATATGCATCACATAGGAGTCATACTTTTTTCAACTGTGGCAGGTTTTAATTGTACATAGGGTTACGGTCACCTTCTAGCTTCGCGTTAAAGGGAACTTCCCTTCAGCTCAGTGGTAGAACGTCGGACTAGGAAGTATGGGATCCCGGGTTCAATCCCTTAAGCAAGCACACTATTCTCTTTCCTGTTACAAATGGTGTCCATGGCCCTCCCTGTGGTGACAGGGAGTTAGAACCTGGGTTGTGGCGTTCGAGGGCAAACACAGTTAAGAAGGGGGGAGTAGTGTGGTAGTGTGTACAATATGATTATGTCGCCTTCTAGCTTCGTACTAGACAGAACTTCCCTTCAGCACAGTGGAAGAGCGTCGCACTAGGAACCTACGGATCGGGGGTTTGATCCCCGTAGGAAGCACACTAATCTATTTCCTGTTACAGCAATATGCGTCAAAAAGGAGTTGTATGATTACCACAAAGTGACTATATGTAGGCGTTTTGGTTCAGTTAGCCTTATTGTTTAAGTCTATTGTGTGCTAAGTACTGCAGCAAGGCTCATGTTACTTCACAAACGTGTGCGTCTTATTAGTCTTGATGGTAAAAGCAATGTTTCACAGTATTTTTGTGACTTTTACCTTTGACCTTGACCTCTGTGACTTTGGGTAAGTTTTTGGACTTGATTCAGTTATAGACCAAGAGTGGTATCTTATTTCACATGTGTTAAATTAAAAATGAAAAGAGCAGGTGAGCTAATATGATCCAAGGATCTGTGTTCCTGCATCAGCAAATGGCTGTTTAATATAGGGAGCCACAGAGATAGGTTTGACTGTGTTGTAATATAGTGTGAAAATTCCATCCCAAGTGGGTAATAATTGAATAATTTAATGAATGAGCTAAAGTTGGTAGAGTTTTCTCAACCGTCATGATTATTCTACAAAAAAATCTTTAATACACAAGCGATGATGCCTCAAAATTAAATTATCGGATGCTGTGTGATGTAAGTTTTGCTTTTCTCTTGAATTTCAACTTTAAATTTCTCCTCCAGAGATTCCATCGTCACTGGACCCGTTCGAGATGCTAATGGAATGGTCTTTTGATGACTTGACTGGACCAGGCTCACTAGGGTTGAGGGCGGAGGGGACAGAGGTGTATGGTAGAATCTCCCACACGTTCGACACTGCGGGCAACAACACTTTTTGTAAGTACAATGAATCTTTTGTTTTTTCTCTGTGGAATATTCACAGAATATCATTCCTACTACTCTGTGGAATATTCACAGAATATCATTCCTAATACTCTGTGGAAATTTCCAAGGAAACTGTGGAGCAACAAAACACCACCTAAAGTAGCGCAAATTCCTATGGGTTTTTCTATAGAGATTGCTACCCATTTTCCATGGGATCGTCAGAACTCAGCGGGATTTACAAGTAAGCCTCTGCAGAGATTGCCAATGAATGTCTGAGGATAGTGCTGAATCTCCAAAGAGAAAGCTGGATTTCGACGGAAAATACTGGTTAGCGGAGGTGGTGTTAAGCCAAACTGAACTGTTGTTTTCCAAGAGAAGACAGCTTAGGTTCAGAAGAGAATGGGTGGGTAGATAAGGGGATGGCGAAGAGGGATAGGGGATACCCCTAAATAGAAACTTTCTTTACCATGACCATGATTTTGGCACTGAATAGGGAATTTCTCTGCCTAAATTAACACACCATGGCCCTTAAAAACATATTGAAGGGTACATGTGGAATATTCTGTTTTCAATAGTATGGCAAATATTGGTTTCCTTTTAGCTGGAGGTAGGTGTTTTAGTATATAATAAAAAAAAATGTAAGATCATTGATGGTTCTTACCATGAATAGTTAGCCGATATGAAGTGTGGTGCTGTGCAGTCTTGAGCATAGGACAGCTGTGTTCAAATTAACACTGTCAGTACACAGCAGTACTTAGTATGGGTATCATGTCTGAATGTAATGATGTATTTCTTGTCAAAATATAATATTTGTGTTTATATTTAACCAGATACATCATCTTTCCAATCAAAAATAAATCATCTTGATTTTTCAGAGAATTATTGATAAAGTATATCTTTTCTGAGATCAGTAGAGATCTTGGTTACTTGTGACTTTAGATATATTAGGAATAGATCTTTGTAACTTGTAAACTTTATATTATTTATTTTGTTGGTATATAATCTGGCTACACTCAAACCGAGAAGAAAAAGGTTCTCTTTGACATATAAAATTGTTCATATACGAGAGATTCAGGCGTTGTATATTTCAGATACTATGTAATACAAAATGATGTTCCATATCTCAGTTGTACTGTCATATTTATTCAAAAAAAATCACTTGTAATCATGGCCATTAATTACTCATTCATCCCTGAAGACACATTTGAACTCCTCTAATTCAAAGGTTGGATTAGTTCATTATAAAATTCAGGGGTGGATGAGTTAAAAGCTAATCAAATTCTTACAAGGACACTTGATGGTTATGATGAAGTCTTCCATGTCTTTCGGTCATAAGAAACTCTTGCGTTACACACAAGTTAAGTTCCCTCAACGGTTTTAAATTCTTACGAAAAAAAAAGCATTTTATGGTTAAAGCAATTCCCTTTGTCTGTACATGTCAGAGATAATCGGAACAAAACCATTGTCAGATATAAGTTATATGCCCTCGGTGGTAGTAACGGGCTCTGCGTCCCCGTCTTAAGTCACGATAACTCTGATCTCCACAAAAGAATTTGTGAGTTGGAGGAAACTGAACCCTAGTATTGAGATAGCAAAGGTTTTAACACAGCAAATAAAACATACAAATGTAATCATATTTGGGAAGATTAATATATAGAATGAAATATTATACAAGTTTTTGTTTGCAGAAACATATAGATATTGATTATAAGTAAAATGTAGTTATACAGACCAAGGTTTTCGAGATTTTTAGGGAGCATGTTTCAAGTGATGCGTATGGGTGCATTGGAACAATAAATGTCAAATGTTTTGTTGAAATTTAGATACAAAATCATTTTAGTCTAAGGAAGGTGTCTGGAACTGCAATTTTGTCAAAAAATCATAAATTGGTTTGCTGAAAGAATTAAAAATTGACATGATTGTTTATAAAAGAATTAGTTTGGTGTTGAGAAATAAGTTTGGTGTTGAAGAGTGTACTTTGTATTTGGGAAAATAAGGTCTGATTGTATGAGAGTTATTCAGTGTCAACCTCAACCAACTACAAATAAGATTGGTGTTGAGGAGTGTACTTTGTATCTGGGAAAATAAGGTCTGATTGTCTGAGAGTTATTCAGTGTCAACCTCAACAACCTACAAATAAGTTTGGTGTTGAGTAGTGTACTTTGTATTTGGGAACATAAGGTCTGATTGTATGAGAGCTATTCAGTGTCAACCTCAACAAACTACAAATAAGTTGGGTGTTGAGGAGTGTACTTTGTATTTGCGAAAATAAGGTCTGATTGTATGAGAGTTATTCAGTGTCAACCTCAGCTTCACGACTTCTTTATGAATGCCCACGGTTCAAGATGGTTGAATCAATAGGTCTTCAGGTGATTAACATGTTGGGCTGAGAGCCCATGATTGAATCAATTTAGCCTGATGATGATTGTAATTGTTACATCACCAAATATATCAAAATTTGTTTCATATTCATTCCAATGGAGTTAGAAGATTCTAAAAAGTATGAAATATATGAAAACAATCTTGAGAGTCTTCATTGAAGTATTGCTAGTAAAGATGTAAGTGACTTCCTTGCTGGAAGTTTTACGTCTTTTTCGCCTTTTACAGTAACATTATAAATGTTATTTCAGGTGATCATACAGGCATTTTGTGCCTTTTATCTCACATGTCTCCGATTGTTGTAGTGTCATGCATCGTCCATTGACAATTGAACTTTTTTGCCTTTTTCTCATGGAGTTTGACTTCATACTTAGTACAAATGTTCCTTATCATAACCCTACCAAGAGTTGATGATTTTTGTGCCAATCTGAAAATTGTTGATGGTGGTCAAGGCCTCTACTCAGCTAAAGACATTCTCAACTTCTCCACAAGGATGGTGGCAGTGCTTGACTCTAAACTATGTATGTAGCCCTTACCAAGTGCTCTTACATGGAGTGCTGATCCAGAAATCCAAGATGGCTGCCCGGTGCTCAGTTGTGCTAAGGTATTTTTTACTACTTCCCAAGAATGGTTGAAGTAATATATTCTTAACATGTTACAATTATTGTTTTTGAGGTCCCATTAAAGTTTTCTTCATTTTTTGCTAATCTGGAAATTTAAGATGGTTGCTATGACATCTGATTGCCCTTTTTAAATTCTCAAGAATAGCTGTACACAGGTTCTTTATGAACTTCTAGTGTTTTCGTTGTTTGTGTTGATGTGAAAATTGAAAATGGATTACCTGGTCTCTATTTGGTTGAGATATTATCAACTTCAAAATTCTCTTTAAAATGTTCTTGTTAGCTTAAAGGCCTGTGAAAATCATATGAGCACCAAAGGCCCCTTGGGCCCCATGTTAGAGTAATGTTATTACAGGTGACCATATGGAGTCCTTTTGTACGTTTATAGTTCTATTACCTGTGCTGATCTTGTACACATTTTGGGCCTTGCAGAATGTGTTTCTGTTGGTCTTACAGACTTGTTCTACAGCAGGCCCATTTGCCATTTTCCTGGTTTTCTTTAAAAATATCCAATCTTGAGGATACCAGAATTTCCCGTAGGATTTGTGTGTATTTTCAGATGAAGGTGGAAAGGAAACATTGAGAAAATCAGATTTGCTTGTGTTCTCCAGACTCTGTTGTATCACAGATCTGTCAGTTTATAGATTAATCAAATTCAACATTTTAATTAAATTGATTAGCTAGAATACTGTCATGTTTGTTAAAGTAAAGTGAAAAATTTAAAAATTGCCATGTGCTCATTTCACAGCTATAGCTATCAATTACGAGTTAGCTTTGACACAAATTTGATTTCTATACCCTGGATAGAAGAAAAGTCATTTATGGTGGTGCAGATTGGCATTGATGGGTGCTAAATGGGGTCTTACTTAGCAAATCGCGATGCTTTAAGTGAAGTATGGATTTGACCAGAGTATTAATCACAACTTGGGGTCCTATACATTTTCTGCATTAGGCCATTCTAATGTTTGGTGTGTTTAACATTTCTGTCCAAATATTCCTCTTTTATTGAAACAGATACACAGGCTGTAGTGGTATATGGTATAGTGATACAATCAAACCAGTGTTGAGAGTCCATTGTCAGGAAGTTGATAAATGGTCTCTTAACACAGGTGGTTTCTTAATACAGGTTTGTTTTACAGTAAACTCACTACGCTGGGAAACATTAAAAGTGGTGTCTTAACACAAGTGGTCTCTGAATGGAGATGGTCGCAGGAGCAGGGTTGATTTTACTAATTTGTATGCCTTCACCATTTTATGGGGGACATATATTGTGTTTATACCTGTATGTCTGTCGTGTCGTGTCACGTCACGTCGCGTCCCAGCCATTCCGTGGCATCCTCTCATGATTCTGTTTCTTGAATCTACTGGCTTCATTTCTTAAAAGATTTTCATCGAAGTTTATACAAAATTGAAGTATGCAAGTACCTCAGATGAGTTTGCATTTCAGGATCCAAGGTCAAGATCAGGATCCAAGGTCAAGGCCAAGGTTACTTGCTTGGTCAATGTTAAACACAAGACCAAGAGGGCATTCATGTCTTGCGGATGTTTTCTAGTTTCCATTAAAGAGGCAACATACAAATTAACGTTAAGAACTTGTGTTGAGAGGTCACTAACTACATGTCTTGAGTCTCTGAATTGACAGTCTAAAGTAATTAAGATTGTTTATTTAAGAGAGCATGTATTATCTTTGAGAATTTGGCTATTGTTTTTTTTATGTCAGAGCAGGTTTCTAGGGAAAGGAAACGGGTCTCTTGGTAGTTGCACCATAAACACACATTCAATTCATATTGTCCTGATGTCCAATCTGCATAATCCCCCTGGGGTTTTATCCATGGGAGGTTTCGCCTCTACATAATAGGATTGATGCTGGAAGGGATATCATTTATCCAGCCAGGCCCAGTGTCCTCAATCTCTGCATCAAAATTTAGTGTCCTTTGACCTCAAACCCAGGCTCCTGGTTCAGTTTGTACATAAGGAGAGGGATGTGTCACTGATCATCACCCCCTTCGGCCC